CTCAGTCAATTTACATGATAAAGTTTTAATTAACTATATATTTTTCATTGGTGAATACAGGAGCTAGGTGTGTACAGTATTTACAACGTCATATGTATGACATCAGAATTTTGGTAGTTGGATAGGCAAATGGCCCCTACTATGATTATGTTGAAGTCAGTTTGAAATCTTTCTGAATCTTTCATGAATCTTTCATGACGCCGAGGTAATCTCTGGCCTGCCAGAGCCTAGTAGCTGGGGGCTGTGATCTTCCACCCTCCACCTTGTTGAATTAAGAACCATGATACCACTACTATCTCGGAAAAAAGTTATTAACCAACGTAGATCATTCTGGTTTTCTTTATTCAAAGGGATCTGAAGAAAACGACGAGACTTTTTACTAGATTTCTCGTACAAACTTTGTAACGCGTATCGTCCCCAGGGCATAGAAGTGCAAGCCCACGATGCGTGTCCTAAAATCTTTTGCCAATCATTAAGAGAATGTTTCGGACTTGAAACAAATATTTGAAGTCTTTCGATGAGGTGAGCTTTCTTGTTGGGATGTAACTGAATAATCATTTTATTTGAATCTACAATATGACCAATGATCTCCAAAACCGGTCCGTGAAGCTGCTTTTTCCAAACCCATGGAAAACCTAAGATATCAAAAAGATTTAATAGCTTGGCCTGAGGAAGAGGAATATAATGATCTTTAAATTTGACAAATTGTTTCGCCGGACAGACAGACCAAACATCGTCCATCATGTTGTTCAAAAACTTGATGTTGAATATGAATTTGGCTATCCATAGAACTAAAGAAAATACACCGCACCAAATGTACGGTGAAGCAGAGGAGCCAAAACTAAGATTATGATCAATTCTCTTCTTATTTCCTCTGATTCTATAAATTTGCCGCATCTGATACTGGCGATGGAGGGGAATAATTCTAAATGCTCCCTCAATGTCCAATTTGAAAAGTACAACATCACCTTCTTTTTCTTTCATCTCAATCAAATAGGGAATGAATGTTTTGAGAGAATCGTAGGCTACCGGAATGCTCTGCTTGTCGATGAGATCGTTAGGTGAAGGATGCCCAGCACTCATGTTAGAGCAAACCCGCATCTTGGTCGATTCCTTCTTTGACGCCATTAAAAGCGGAATAACCTTCATTCCTTCTAAGAGAGTAGTAAATTCGTCTGAATATCTTCCCTTATCAATTTCTTCTTGGCACTGTTCTTCCAACAATTTCTGATTCTCCAGAGATGAAACCTGATTCGGAGGATCGATTACCTCTGCTGAAGGAAGTGACAAATGTGGCCAAAATCCCTCGCGTAATCCTTTCAATGCTGAAACCACAAAAGGTCGATTAGGATGACGTATCAGCAAGGATTCCAACTTATCAACATGTATCGGAGTGATGATCTTGAACAGATCGGGATATTGTTCCATAGCAAAAGCTGCATGAGGATCCTCCGACAGCGGTGGAGCTTCCTTGAATGGCTCCGCGTAAATGCTGGATTTGATCGCTGGCGACCATCCTTGAGAATTTACCCCGTCCCAAACATAACCTCGAAGGAATTTTTGTTCTGGACAATCAACAGAAATACGTGCATTAGCTGATGAAATATCTGGAAACGTTGGACTTAATGTAACTCAAATGTCAGCCAAACTCTTCCAACACACAGTAAACGAAAATATTTAAAAGATACGGATATAAACCCCTCTAAAATATCATCTTCGAAATATTCCCTCTCGTTACATCGTACCACATCCGATGACTCCTCTGGCTCATTTCCTGCATCTCGTGACGTTCTGAAATTAATTCAGATGTCAGGAATTTAACCAACCTAGCTATACTCGAATTAAATACCTACCCCTCCATATTCCCGATAGCGTGAAGTTCTTGAAGACCTTTCTCATACGTGATCGCATCCCTTGTGGTCTTTCTTGCAACCTTTGACATTGCATTGGTGGATACGAGGACAGGCAGGCTTCCCCAACTTGCAGTTCCCCAAATTATGCGCAAAGCAAAACTGCTCGCGCTCCGGGATAAGGTCAGAATCTTCGACTTCATACAGACCTTTATGTTTGTAAGTTGACTGATAATAATTTGGCGAATGTTGAGATCTTGAAGTCGAAGCGCGAGGAGACAAATTTCGTTTAGAGCTTTGGAAAGGGGGATTTTGGCGACCTCCACCAGAAGGCCGAGCACTCGTTGAACCCATCGAAGGCTTGTCTTCAAAAGCCTTGTGCATATACCTTGTCCTAAGTGTTCCAAGGCTCTGATGACCCCAGTCCCCAAACGAAATATCCCGTCTAGTTGCGAACTGACCCCTGAGTGCCGCATCAAAGTTCGCCACGCAGGTCCAATCGGCTTTTTGCCCATTCGACATGAATTCTTGCTTAATCCAAATCGAATATTGAAGAAAATACTTGAAGCCTTTAGGAAAGGCTTCTTGGTAAGCTTGCTGAAGGATATCGAAATAATAATACCAATCTTGGATGTCGTCGAGTTTTTGAGATACCTTCTGATTTTGAAGCTCAATGTCCTTGTCCTTACTTGCCACCATGAGGCTCGTAGCCATACCCCTCTTCTCCGCCATATATTCTCCTTTGATTCTTTGGAGGTCAATATACTTCCCTTGTAGTAATTCTTTAGAGAGATTAGACGGAAAATCAGCTGGTTTAACCCTATCGTTAAACCCTTCGACAGCTTTTGTAAGATTGGGAGCATAACCTCGGACTGCTTGAGAGAAAGCGATGGCACTTTCCGAGAGATGTTCTGATGCAGATGGGCCAGTGTTGCATCTATCGACCCATTCCCATGACTTCTGCATCTTTCGTCTCTTTCCATCTTCCTCCTCATCTCCAACATCTTCATCACTTTTATAACTTCTATCTTTCCCCGCGGCCGTTCTAGGCACAAAAGGGGATTGAGATCTAGAACGTCTGGGCCTATTTTGGGAGTCCAGGAGATCTCTGGCCTTCTGGGCATTGTCGATCTCCTCTTGGGTAAGGATATGAATACCACCTTGTGAGCGATTGCTTTTCGCCAGGGAAGATCGACGACTTCTTTCACGACTTCCTTCCCGTTCTGGGATGTCGGGCGGTAAAGATGGATTGGTGGATAGGTCGAAGACGTAGACCGTGTCTTTGTCAGATGATACCGGGTTAGTAGGAACGGGGCCTTCATTAAGGAAAATGGGTCTGTTCGCTTCTCTATCCAACTTGATAAGGTCAGATGCAAATTTTGACCATTGTCTATACCAATTCTTGGATGAATAAGGCACGATCTTCGAAAATATAGATCGGACCTCAGACATGGTTTTAGCGTTCGAGCCACCTGCCGATTGATAATCGGTGGCCAAGGTGGCCAGCTTTTCAGAAACCACTCTAGCGGCTTCGAAATCATGACTGCCATCGTCACTCATGGATTAGAGCGGAACAGTAAATATATAGAAAGTTTAACGGTTTTTATAAGACAGTTGAATAATGAAACGGTTTTTTAGCGAAAAAGATAGCTAAAAAATTTTTTATCGACCTTTACTATCTGTTTTTTTTTGTGAAAGGCGCGAAATATAAGAGCTAAACTAGTTTATCGAATGAGATGATATTGAAGTTTTGACGAATGTGAACACGATGGGAAGATGGAATGAAAGGATGGTCAACAGCCTATGACATCATCCCTGTGAATGACTGAAGTACGAAAGAATGTCCGACCCGTCAGTAACTTTACAGGTACCGTGCATTCCGAATGAATCACATTCCCATCGGTTAATAACGAGTTACCAACTCCTAGGAAAGTTTCACCAAAATTTTGGACCTCAAACTCTATGTGGACAGACTTTTTGTCACTGACTGTACAACAGGTTCAATACTCCGATATCGACCCGTCTCGTGGAAAAATACGGTACCGTCCACCACAGCATGTTCATGGGAGCCCGACGACCTGAGGGCCCATATGCTACAAAGAAGTTTATGAGACTAGAGTAATAGCATATTGCGTCACGCACAAGTTTTTTTATTTTTGGTTTGGCTCAGCCAATTCTTTTGCCCTCAGTTATACTTCAAGTTGGCAATTGAACTCTATTTACACATTGAACGTGAACTTGATTGAGGAGACACACAGGGAATGTGAAGACAAAGGGGATACTTTATATCGAAGTTCAAGTTCATATATTTCATCAAACTTATCAAGAAAGACGAATCTGAACAACCGACCCCAATATGGTACTTCATCATATCGATCATTCTATCATCCCGTAAGAATCTTTCAATATTTTCCTTCTATTCCTAATAACTCTCACAATTACTAATCATATCCTTGTCTACTTATCCAGTCACCCATTCACTCAAGTTTGCCAAGCTTATACTCTAAGATACCCAAACCCATTTTCACCACACGTAATCACATCAGATGTGTTAAAACGAGAGTGGGATCCAGAAAATCGAATTTTATATACGACTCGATTACTTCTAAAAAGAGGTACATTACCTTCTTGGGCACCGCGTGGAATTATTGAAAAATCTGAAACTTGGGTCTTGGAAGAATCTCAATTAGATGTCTTGGAAGGAAAATTAGATGTTTCTAGTAGGAATTTAGATCATCGTAAAGTTATTGAAGTTATTGAAACACTTGAAGTTCGTACTCGAGGTGAGGTGTGAGTCTTTGTGTATGTGTGTGTGAAGAGGTCATTGATAGAAGCGTATGGAAGATTGTCAATCAAAGCTCGATTTGAAAATTTAATTTTACTTTGCATTTACTGAGTTCATGTTTTCGGGTATTTCAGATCTCATGCCACTACATCAGCTCAAGTAACTTCATCGTGGGGTTTCCATATGCTTCGGAATCGGATCGAACATTATGGCGTTAGCCGATTTCAGCGTCAAACAAAGAATGTAAGTATCTTTCTTTGGTAGCCATGATGAACGTTTGTGTTGATCTCGAGCTTCGTGTATATAGGCTCGACTTGGCTTAGAAATGACGATCCAAATCCTTCAACCGAATTCAAGTTTACGTGATCGACTTTTAAATGGTGAAAAACTAAATTATCCAGCGATCACTCCGTCTTCTGCTGTTGCTGCAAGACTTCACGCTCTACGGAATCGAGCCAAAGAGAATAAAGAACGAATTAGTGCATTGATCCGTACCGGTGCTGGTTTACCGATCCAGAGTCATGACGCTATGTCAAAGGAAGAAGAAGCTGAACTCAAGGAACTTGAACATGCATATGGGCTTGCTTCTGAAGTGGTTGATGAAACATTAACTAACTCTGCAACACCTAGTTTGAATCCTGGTTCGATACCACACCCATTGGATCCACCTAGACGACGCTGGTTTTGGTGGTGTAGATGGCGGTTAGGTGGATCAGATGAAAAATCCGTCGAACCCGCTGATTCTGCATCAAATCAAGATATCAATAAAACCGATGGATCTAATTGAGTTTGATGCATTTGATATACTTTCTAAGAATTCAGAAACGCTCAAAATCCCTACTCATTTAGTACGAAGACTTTTTTTGTCAATTTCACGAGGACGCTGGAGTTGTATAGAAGTAAACAAAGTTAAATATCAATATTTCCACTATGTTTCAATTTTTTTTTCAAAATAAGACTTGATGTTCAGATTCAGACCAAAAGGGTTAAATAATTTACAGTAAATAGATTGATTGTTTTTGAATTTGAAGATTCCGTAAACTTGTTCTTTTGTGGGTCATGTGGTGGGCACGTTATTTCAAAAAAGGCGTGCCCGGTCGCGCCTGAGGGGGACTGGGCGCACCCGTCTTTGGCTGGGGGTGCAAGAGGTGCAAAGCAAAACAATAAAACCTCATTCAAGTTGATAGAGATTAGCAATCCTTGGATGAACATTCAATAGCATCATGTGACACTGGATTGATTGATCAACATCTAATTTCTCACAATATTGAATAGATACACAAGGGTTGAATTATGTGTCATTGTGGATATTGGGGATTAGGAAAAATTTGGACCAATGGGACACTTTGTTACATTTGGCTGTAGTGGAAATATCTGTTTAAATGGTTTTCAGTCTGGCCTTTGGGCTTTTATGTACACCTTTGGTGCCTCAATATTTGTTTCTTGGTCAAGATATTGCTGCACAATAGGTGGAAGATCATCTTTTATATGATGGAGTACATAGGCCCACCACATGATTTATGGGGAGAAGGATTTATGATTTGATTCAGTATATCTTTAATTCTATAGATACCAAGTGTGTATAGATACCAAGTGTGAATACAATCAATATTTGATCATTGTGGGTTTTTTCTAGCTTCATTATGAGTCCTTACAAGATTTATCCACTCTGCTGCTCTGAAAGTGTTTTAGCATTTGTGTAACTCACATGACATGTGATTTCTAATTTCCTTTTTCCCTCCTTTCCTATAATTTGATACTGATAGAGCCTGTGTTATAGAATCAAAGGAAAATAGCTAGAACACCTTTAAGGTCAAGCAGCCCTCAAATTCAAAACATCTTCTCCTTAAATCTTTGTTGATTCATTCTTAACACACTCCATACAGTACGTGCTTGATAGGAGATGGATTGATTTCCATACATATGTAGCTATATTCAACCAATACAACAAGGACTTCTGATGCAAAACAAGGCTTTTGACTTATTTATTTTCTCTTGAACAATTTTATACTAGACTTTCACAACACTTTTTACTTCCTCTCATTTCTATTCTGAGTAGATAATGAATGGTATTTTATTGATTTTTAAACATGAAGTAGGACTTTTCTACCCTCAATATAAATTCAAACTTTTGTTCAATTATATATCTCATACATACCTGAAATTTATGATCTGATAATGGAATCCAATGATATATACTGTTATAGAAAGTCAAACTTTCAAGAACTGGAGTTTTTGTCATACTTGAATGTAGTCCAAGGGAGTTTAGATTTATTTTGTTTTCTGAACCAATTGATCAAATCTTGATGCATGTCAACAAACTTTGTAGAATCAAGTTTAGTAAAGATCCAACAATTGCTGTCTTTCTCCACCGTCATCTCTATAAGATGTGGTCTGTCAGGATTTGATCTCTCTAGTTTCACTGGAACCAGTTCCTTCAGTGAGAATTGACGTAAGTTGGCATTCAAGACAAATTCCAGATGTGGATCAGCGGTACATCCTTCCAGGAAGTATGGCTCTTTGGCAACAGAGTCCCATCGCAAAGCTAGTGGCATAACTTCCAACTCTAAATCATCAACTGATTTGGAGATCTCCCCAATTCTCTTCATGTACAATTCTACTTTCTTGGTTTCATCCAGTGAATCTATCTGCTTGTCTCCTGAACCAGAATTGACTGAACTCTGAGCTGGGATTTGGATAAGTTTATTCTCATATCCCGTCAATGTTTCAACAATCTTGGCGTGGGTTATCAATTTATCTACCTTGAGCTCTGAAACAGGTCGAGTGATTTTGAGTGTTGTGACTAATTTAGGATCTTCCCTAAGTTGTTTTAACCATCTTCTTGTCGGTTCAATCACATATTTTAACATCTTTTCCCCGTAAGAGATTTGTAACTTTTGAAAGCCTTCTTGGACCCCACGATAAAGATGAAAGAATGTATCTGGTCGAGAATGTTTTACAAGTTCGGTGAAACCCTCAAAACCTTTGAAAGTTTGGTATCTAGGATCTTTTTCAGACATTATAGCAGCATGAGTAGCATCTATCATTCCGATCATCTGTGTATTATATAAATCATTGCCTATCATGACCATCTTTATACCACTTTTGAGAACTTTATCTGATGCTTCATAGTTACGATAAAAATTAAAGCTAGCTAATAATTCAAGCTTGTTATCTTGGGTGTGAAACTCTCCTGGAGTTGCCCAAACAATGAACATCTTTTGTCTTGATTTATCGGGACCAACTCGATCTATGACTTCAGCTAGATCCGTAGGCGTGGTTTTTAATCCGATCAAGACTTTATCGAGTGAAGAAATATAAGCTGCAACCTTTTCATAGGTCGCCTTGGCGTGGTTTTGTCGAGTTTTGGAATCCATTGGTGAATCAAGTAGCGCTTGCCTCTTGTGTTCCTTCATAACACCTATACCTTCAACAAAGTCAAAGACAGACATTTCCTCCTCACCTTGTTCACCTAATAAAATTTCAGGGATTTCACAATCAGCAATTTCATGAATCTTCTCCCAAACCCATTTTGTCATTTGAAGACGTAAATTTGCATTACCACCATGTATAATAATCATTTCTGGAATTCTAAGATCGTAAAGGTATGCTATGATATTTTGTAAATAATCATCATTTTCTCCATCTTCGAAAACAATGTAACCTTTCTTCCTTATTAGCGCGTCTGCCTTTAATTTTCCAGGCTTTGGATATAAGTGCTGTTTAACTTTATTTTTCAGATCATCTTTTGAAGTTTTAAGAAACTTTTTAACTTGCTCCGATTTTGAATGATGGATCAAATTTAAATCTTCTTCTTCTTCAGCTTTTGTTGTTTCTACTCTTCTATCCCAATCAAAAGTTTCAATAGACTCTTGAAAAGTTTGGAAAGATTGTGAAATAATTGATTTTTGTTCCTCTTTTGAATGAATGCCACTTTGCTTAAAGATTATATCACTCGTTTCACTGATTTCACCCAAATCAGCAAGCTCTTCGTCTCTACAAAAGCGGTCATGAAGAAGGGCAAAATCGATAAATCTCCCCCCTTCTAAAAGAACTGAACAAAAACCCAACTGTTGCTATTAGAATACTCACGGTTTTAGCGAGAAATGAGCTTCTTTCAAATCCAATGGGGCTGAAAATCAAAGTCACAGAAGAGATTAACATTCCCCTCCTCAATAAACAATGATTGATTGTTCTGTCAAGAGGACTCACCTCTCATTCCAATGACTCTCGTGATTGGAAATATTGCAAGAACAAGTACGTAGTAGTATTTATGATCAGACATTCTATGTAGTAGTATTTAGAAGGATCTATGAATGTTTTTTAGATGAGTGAAAGCCTAATGACGATAGCTCGTTACCTGGACCGTTTGCTTGGGTTTATGATCCTTATTTCAAAGCTGCTTTGAGAAGAGGAGTGCTCATCAAACAACTTATCTTTGTAAATTGATTTTACAATGAGAATCCTGTATATGGATCAAGTCTCGGCGAAAGCAATCAGAAGCGATCCCTTTTTATCACTCAGATGAGCTTAAAGCTAATTGACTTGATACTCGCGGATATCTCATGTTTGAAAAGGATGCAGGGGAAATCCACTGCGGTCCTGAGTCATGTGCTGATGCTCTGTGGCGGTATAAATAAGCCCCGTAGAGTTTCATTGTTTTAAGGCATTACAGCGGTTCGAGAGTTCTTTGACGCATAAGAAAAATAGAATTCCAAAACCGTCGTCAAAACCAAATTTGTATCAAAATATTTCAAATTTGAAGTGTCCAAAAGAGTTTTTTCCAAGTTTGGTCCAAAACTTGCAAAAAAAACGAAAAAAAACAAAGAACTCTTGAACCACTGTAGCTTTTGAAGTCATGATTACATTTTCAAACATGTGGCCTTTGATGTACGGAGTCAACAATTGTCCCCGTAAAGCTTGAGTAAAATTCCCCACCAATTGGCTCGAGGTTTGCGGGAAAATTTACATGCACGTTTTGCAAAATTGACAGTAGGTACAATACTGAGCTTGACTGAGCTTGCTTCATTCATATCAGGATGTTTCAAGTGGAGGCATTTTAGTGAAGAAAGTCTTACATGTGGAGACAATAATTTGAGTTTGATGCTGAGTTAAGGAAATAAATTGATGGATAGAAAATTACAGCAATGATCCAGCAGTCCTTTTGAAATACCACATGATTTGCAGTGGAGCGGTTCCACTATTGCCTTGCTGAAAATTTGATATTGACACTTCTTGTTTTACTGGGTTTCTACAGCATAATAAATTCTTGTCTTGATGTGGGATTCTTTGTCAACATTTGGTCCAACATTTTATGCTTCTTGGCACTAGCAACCTTATTGAATTGCAATCTAAAAAATATCACTACTAAGATCATCTAATGTTTTTCAATTTTTTTAATTTACAGCTTGTTGATTTCTTCTTTTCACAGTGTGAAATCTTGTATCTTTTCTCCTTGAAGATATTTACCTTGCTGTTGTTCAAATTAGGTTATGTTGGTGTGTTTTTTAATATTAACAGTACTCAAAGTTGTGTATACTTTGCCGTGCATAGTTTTTTTGTGTTTTTTCGCAACTACAAACAACTTGGAAAAAGTATGTTTCTTGATTGAAGCTCAAAGATATGTACTTTTAAGCCAAAAATATAGTTTTCCCTGGTTGTGTGAAGTTGTGAAAAAAGAAAAGAAAACTATGCACAGCAAAGTATACACAACTTTGAGTACCGTAATTATACTGAAAGCTGCCCCACAGATCTGAGTGTCAAAATGGCTGACTGGCCACTTTTGGTCAGGAAAGAACTAAAGTGGACATTGGCAACACCAAATAAGCAGTTCCAGACCTTTGACACTGCAAGTTTGAAAATACCTGTGAAAATCAAACTTAACTGAGTCCCTAACTCTTCAAATTGGTCTTCATGACCACTGCTGGACTATATTTGGTCTGTTTGAGTGGCATATTAGATAAGTGATTGCAAGAATGATTTAGTGAGCATAACTGTTTTGTAAAATCTAGATAATTAGCTTGATGTTAAGATAATTGACTTGGTGGTAGGATATGCTTGGTGGGATGGAGATGGTTACACTTTGACTTGAGAAGTGAAGATGTCATAAAATTCCTTCAAAAATATCAATCCTCATCATTCAGAAAACATGAAAGCATCAAGTGAAACTTTAAGATGTTTGCTAGCATTAAGAAAGAATGAACCTTTCTTTGCCTCTCCAGAATGCCACAACATATAGGGTGGTAAAAGGACATCAGTATTTGAAAGAGGCTGAAGGCTACATTTGGAAATGTTGCTGATATGAGGAATGAAACAAAATTAACAAAGTCAAAGTGTTTCATTTTAACATCATTCCAGAACATACCAAAACCTCATGCATCCCCAATCATTGTATCACACTTCTTGAAAACACCTAGAATAAATCCTGATGGATCCCTTAGTCGTTGTGGGGTAGAAAGAGGCTCAAATAAGCTCATTTAATCAATAAATGTGCTGGTATGGGGTATTCTTAATTGGTTTTCAGCTTTAAATTCAAATCCAACTTCAATGGCATTGAGCATTTCTCAAGGTTTCCCATTTTCTCATGAATAGAGCTGTGCAGATCCCAGTAACATGTCTCTCTCTCATCAAAAAGTAAATAAGCATGATTTTTTTGAAACCATACAAAAATAAGTCTCAATTGAATGACTTGACAAAAAAAACACTCATCAAGGATCCAGGAGAAACAATACCAAGTTTTCACCAGAGCATTACCAAATTGAACAACAAAGAACCCGTTACATTTGTAATTGTTAGTAAGCGATCAACAATTGAAAGAGCATGGAAACTGTTTTACAAAACACTGTGAAGGATAGCCACAAGGAGTGTATATGAATTCCTGGAGAAAAAGTACAATACTACATTGTGAACTAAATATAAGTTATAATTTTGAAAAAACAGATAGGTGGAGCAAGAACAAACGTTGACAGCAGTCTAATTGAGATGGGTAGGAAGAGTTGATTATCCCGGTGCATTCCTTCACCACCGGGACATACGGCGTGGTTCATCTTGCTCTTCCATAAACGGGAGAGCAGAGATGGAAGGATCCGCTGAAGAATCAAAAAGGAAGGTATGTGAAACAGATGATGATGATACATGATAAAGTGAAAAGTTGAAAAAGAAGAAACCCATTCATTTTTTTGAGATGGGATTGAGTCGATCCAGAAAGAATTCAAAGATTGAGTTGACGGATTAACGAGTGAACTTCTGAAGTCTCCAGAAAGAATTGAATAATTTTCCTGGAACATGGACAAAATCAAAACAAAGAGTCAGAACTATAAAAACCAGATTCCATGAATTGGAAACCAAAGTTTACATACCTTTGTTTGTTAGCACAGCGATCATCTTGGACCCAAATTTTAAAGAGGTGGATTATCAATGCAAATAAAGCGTTGTTTGACAATTGTCGCATTGGCCAACCAAGGACTTCTTGACATGTCTTGCTCATTCTTCTTTTGACGTGAGGCTTGATTTGGTACTCCATGTCAGATAAACCTTCTGGGGTACTATCTTCTAGCTGTATCATTTGTGTAACTGAGCCAGGTGCAGAAAATGCCGCGTGTTGAATGGCAAGTCGGACTTGAGGAGAGAAGATAGTAGCAGGGTGATATCCCCGTACCCTTCAATCAAGATGTTCAGTAACAGAGGAAGGTCCAAGACCGTCACACTTGCCAAATTCCAAGAGTTTGTCCTCTAGATGAGGATGTCTTGCAAGAAGGAGTTTGACCAAGGATGGAAAATCACAACTATGTGATGAGGATAAATCTTCAAGTCAGCTGTCAATGGGGTGGATAAAAAGCAAACAAATATAAGAAATACCCTAAGTTTGACATGGCAGATGGACGTTTTGAACACCGGGTCCGAATCAATTCCCTGATATCCTCAGGAATGGAGGTGTTGAAAGTCTTATGATAACAAGGATTATACGCGTCGCCAGAAAGGTTAGACGGGGTGTACTCCATACTACAAGAGACTATGGAAACGACTGAGAAAAGCAGAGGTTGGGAGGAGAATGTGGATTTGAAAGTATCAAGAACAATTGGTTGAGGTGAAAACTAGGAGGTGGTCGCTTTGTTGAAAGTGATGAGGAGGTAAGGTTGAGATGGTATCGGATGGAATGTGATTTGGAAGTCGTGGTAGTGAGTGAGGTTGGATCTGTATCTGAAGAAACGAACTCAAAGGATCTTATAATCCAGAAATATGCTTTTAAGAATACGGATCAGCGGGAACACTTGTATTCAGGGAAGACTTGCCACGGTCAGTTCCTTGATCTTGGGTCACAAGACTCTGGCTGAACGGAGCGCAATTGTTTCATGTTTGTTTGTTTACTGTTTTTATCTCAAAACCTTAATTTTCCGACTGAGCTGATTATGAACGCGAGTCTTGCACAGATTATTCCGACTGGTGATACGGGTTCCGTATGGAAGAAATCAAAGTATTGAGAATCAGTCGAGTTTAGTTACTGGTGGTCTATGTTGATGGTTGAGACATACATTGCAGTTTTTCCTTTTGTTTTTGTGATGGGAATATGATCAACTTTCAACATGCCCTCTGTTCAATACAGCTGCAAGGTGATCCAATATATTTGATGATGGACAACTTCTCCTGTCTCATACATTTTCATTTGATGTTGGTCGCCTCAAACCCACCCACAGGCTCCTTCTTTGTAGATTCTCTCTTTTGGCCTCACCTTATCAGTGGTGTCCTCAAATTCCATTCGTATTATCTCCTCTTGTTTTGTAAAATTTTCACCTCAAATACCTTCTTGTCGAGCAAAATACATCTTGAAATCATCTTGAAATCCTGCTTCGGAGAGTTTGTCCAGGAATCTCTTCCTCAATTACTTACATTGGGGCTCCTTTTATCAGAGCCTCTTACCAAACATTCCACCCCCAACTTAACTCCTCCTCTTCCTGAGCAAGATACGTACTTCCTTTCAAGCAAATTTGAGCCCGGCCCGTGATAAATGCAAAACCACTCAAATTTCTCGAGGTCACAGGATGCTCTGAATGAGTAGAACTCAGTCTTTTATTTCCTTCCATGATTGAGTGAAAAGTTATCGTATGTTTGGCTTTGCTAAAAGGTCGGTGTCGATGGGTCTTATATCATCAGTATCAATTAAGGAAATGAGGGGTTCTTAAGCTTGTTTGGTCTGATTCTAGGGGAGTGATTTCTACACTGTCTGTGCGCTCTCCCCGCTATTGACATCTGATTTGCTTTTGATTATGATTCAAGAAAGCCTTTGTC